AAAAAAAAAAAAACACATCATAGTAAAACCAATACCTTCTCAGCTTCGCATCGAAGCTAAAATAGTTTATTTTTATTGATATATCTTTATATTTTTAAAAGGATAGGCATTAGTATATTAAGTATTATATCATTTTTATTGACAAATGATTATATTAAATTTTATACATTTATATGCTTTTATACATTTTAATTCTATTTTTATTTATAACATTTTAATCACATTTTTATTATTTTTGTGTACCCACAAATTTATTATTATAATACATAATTATCGTCGACTTATTAATAATTAACACTTATATTAATCACTAACTTTAGTTTACTTTATAATATTTTAATTACACGTGTATTACAATTCTTTTTATCGCACATTTATTATTATTATACTTTTATAAACATTATATTTTATATCATTGCAACTACATCACTATATTTATAGATTTATATAGCATATATAGCACCATTTGATATATTTATTTCATTATTTTATTTATTGTTTCATTATTGCACGATACATTAATATTATATTAATCAAATTATATTTTATATATTATTATGCAAAGCGCGAGGACGCGCTCAATTTCGATTTGGGTGCATATTTGTAATAGATATTTAGCACTTATAATTTTATTTTATTTATATTTTTATAATAATGATTTTTTTTAATAAACCGCATTATAATGAGAGATGATAGATATAAAAACACCAATGCATGTATGAAATATTAACGCAAATTAGTAGAACAATAGATTGCGCATAGATCTCTCTAAATTAATTACCTAGCCAATGAGAAGCATTGTGCAAATTAAACTAATTCTCCCCCTCATAAAACAGGCCTATAAAAGAGCAATTTCTAGCTCATTCGTCACCTTATTTTTTTCTAAAAATCTGGTCATGAAGCGTTTCTGTACCAGACTGTTTCGCGATGTGCTCTCTTTGACTTAGAATCTTTTTCATACTTGGTGTTTATTATCTAAATCTCTCATTATTAATGTCATTTAAAAAAAATAACTTAACCTTTTTATCTTTTTATTTTTAGTTTTAAGTATTTATAAAATATTAAAACAAATTAAATTTTTATTTTGTATTTTGTGAGTTGTTTCAATTAAGAATTTCTTTGATTCTTTAATTGGATTGTCTATTTAATAAGTGCATTTCGAAAATCTACCTTAGCACATCTAGCGGCTAAAACTGTTGGTAAAACAATGGTTTATGGCATGTCACTAAGGAGATCGTAGAGTGTATCTTAAATTGAATAGATACGTGTTTGATTGATTGCACAAGATACTGATGGTTTGTTGAAATCATTATCCTAGCACATCTAGCGGTTAAAACTGTTGGTAAAACAATAGTTTATGACATGTCACTAGGGATTGATTCTCATATTCCATTACGTTCTTTTCGGCAAGCAGTTTTTGACTCTGTAAGGTCCGTGCATCGACGAGAGTTATCTCCGATGGTGTAGCCAGCCTGTCTCTAACTCTGTCGACTCTCATATCAAACACACAATTCTATAAAATACTGATAGTTTATTGAAGTCATTACCCTAGCACATCAAGCGGTTAAAACTATTCGTAAAACAATAGTTTATGACGTGTCACTAGGGATTGGTTCTCATAAGCTATCTGGTTATAATTTTTCTTATTTTAAAATATAAAGTAACACATATACTCAGACACCAAGTATAGAAAGGAATTACAGTGAAGTAATATTTCAAGTTTAACAATTTGCATAATTTTACAAAAATTAATAAGTAAATAAAAGTCAGTGTTCTCTTTATATATATATATCTTTTACGCTATAAACAATCAAACTAGCTGGACACAAGGTAAGAAATTATATTTCTAAGCATGTCATAAAATTAAGGATAGACTTAAGATAAATCAAGAATAACTTTTATCGAGGGAATAATAGAATTGTTAAAGGTGGATAATTTGAAAAGTTATTAATAACTATTTTCTCACCATTCGGGTCACAATAGTACGCGTTCAACGTAGATGTTTTAACTTGTATTATACAATTACAAAAAGAAAATAATTCAGCCATTAAGGCTTGGCGCCCAACAATTGGACAGTAGCATCTTACATGAACATACGCTGTTTCCCATTCATATAGCATGACCAATAAATATTAAGAGTCGTAAAATCCTCCTCCGTAATCATTGCACATTTCATGTAGAATTAATATGACTCAGGTGTGAATCATCCGAATATAATTTTCCTTCAATTTACTTTTTACGACAAACCACGCGTAGTGGTAGTATCTTAATAAAGAGTTCATGGATATATATATATTGTATGCTATATTTTCACCTTGTAGCTAAACGTACTTCAACAATCCGTTAACCATAACATCTATATATAACATCTACATTCTATTATTATTCCTCTTTCTTAATTATAAAAAATATAAATATCACACATATGGCCACTTATTTTATTTCTTTCATCATCCTTCATTATAAATATCTCTCTTCATTCTTTTTATTATTATAATTAATATCCATAACTTTTTACCATCTTTTTTTTTATGACAAAATACCCTTAACATAACTCTTTTTTTTTATGACAATTCTTTACTCAGATTATTATTTTTAAATAACTAGATTAATGTGAATGTACATACTATTTTTTAAATTGTTTGCATGAAGATCGTCGATAATTAAATTATTAAATACGAAAATTCTTTTAAATCGTGCTAATTTTCTCACACAAAAATTCTACAATGTTTTTTTTTAAATAAATAAAGTCTGGACGCAAACTAATTATATATCAATATCACATTCAAATGTACTGATGTCAACAAGAGGTCGTGGCTAGTTTGAGAAAAAATAATTAGACAAGAGAATTCTGAATTCTATTTTGAATTAGAGCTTCAAAAGGCCTACTCGTTCGTTGGCTTGCTCGCTCATAGACGTGCAAGCAGAAATAAGCCTTTTTATATTACTTTTAATTAACCTTATCTTGAGATGTTGTCGTCATATTAATGTCGTAATATTCCTAAGTATTGTGTATTATGGATTATGGAATTCTAAGAACAAGAGAATGTAAGTGTCAAAAGAACTATTTTTTGGCTTTTAATAATTCTTATTTTTACCTCTTATCTTTCGAAAATAGTCTTAAGTAATGTCATAATTTATTTTTCCTAAAAGTTATTTAGTACATATGTAATTATGTTATATGATCCAAATGCAAATACAATCATATATGTATTGTAAATAATAATGACTACACCAGAAACAGTTTAACTAATAATGGTTGTGACTATATTATTATTAATAATATTTTTTTTCAGAAAAGTAATTTATTTATATTTTACTTAATTGTTATAATTATTGATGTTGTATATCATTATTATATTAAATGAAAAAATATAAAACAAACATCTTATGCTTGTTAAATGACGTAGTTCAAGGTAAATGGACAAAACTTTTTTTTTAATTCTATTGTATTAGTAATATTATAATCTTTATTAATAGGAATAATAGAAATAAATAATATATTGAATAATATTTTTCCAAAATGAATTATATGACCTAAATTTTTAATTATATAAAAGGCAGATTAACACATAAATTTTATTCGATTTCAAGAATACTTTTTTTCAATTACCTTAAAAACATGTTTTTTTCAACCAAAATTTTCTTTACGTTATTATTTACAATTTTTTTTCCTATGAGTAATGCCAATAAAAAAAAAATTGGTAAGTTTCTAAAAATTTTAGTTTTTCACTGTACCACAACATTAATTCAAAATATATAATATTCAAAAATAATAAGAGCTTTATTAAATTTGAAAATTCAATATTATTACCAAATATTTATAGATTAATTTAATTTAAGTGATGAGTCTTTAGTAATGAAAAGTGCTTATATAATTTAAATTATATTTAGATTACATCACTAATGAATGTATTAAAGTTTTCATGGATTGATGTATTATTTAGAATATTTTTAGGTAAATCTAGGTCTTTACTTAAAAATGTTAAATGTTAGACCGAAAATAAGTTTTAGAATATACTCTATTAATTGCAAATAAAGAATATTCAGTAGCAAGGACACAGATTTCTATTGAGCTTAATTTTTATAACAATTGACGTGTTTTCTTACTTACTGAATATTCTGTATAAACTATACAATGAAATTTCTTGGGAATTATAACTTTTTATTTTTTTATAATATTTTTTTTAAAAAAACATATCGAAAAAATATAAGTATTTTTTTATATTTTATCATAATAAATTATGAATTTAAAAAAAAATATATATATTTTTAGAGTGATTTTGAGAGATAATAATTGGATAATAATTCAATTAAGAAACTATAATTGTGTCATTGTTATCAAATAAAAAAAGATGATAAAAAAATGGCTTTTCAATAACAAGATATGAAATAATATTTTTAAATATTAACTAAATTTTAAATATTTAGACAAGATTTTTAAGTTTTCAAACAAGCAGAGTAATAATTAATCAAAATATTTTTGCGCTGATATAGTAGCGACAAAAACACTACAACGTAGCACACTTTTCTTAAACTACATTTATACAAAATTATCAATTATAAAAGTGAATTTTTAAAACCGGTTATCGATTAATCTATTTATTTTAGTCTATTTTTTTTTAATTTTAGACTTTTATTTAATTGTCGTACATTACCGAGCTTATACAGAGTGATTCATTTATCATAACCCACTCAGTTACTCTTAGAATAATAATAAGAGATAATTTTTCAATAATAAATACTGTTTGAATATTTAATTTAACTTAATTCGTTTATTACATATAACACCCTAAAGTTTTGAATTGTTGTGTTGAAACACATAAAAGAAGTACAATGATTTATACTGACTGGTAGCTAACGCATTTTTTTATGACTGGTATTTTCATAGATATGCAATTTATTGTCAATTATAATATAGGACAGGAAATAGAAATTTTTCATATATTCGAAAGATTTGTATTTTTAATTTAAGCCTTCAGTTGCAATGCTCTATCTTAAAACTATCTTGATATTCATCTCTGTCAATAGCAACGTCGTATAGAAACAATAAGCTACCTGTATTTGTATTTGGTCGTATGATATATATATTACAGTTCGTTAACGATATCGATTTCGTCGACTTATTTCTTTTTTACCACGATAACGATTTTGTTTTAATTATCGCAACGATCGATAAAAATTTTTATTAAAAAAACTGTTTGAATTTTCGTCACTTTACTATAAAATATATATTATTTGATATTAAGCCAAATTCATGATAATCTTGTAAATATTTTTTGTTTTAAAATATATTATGAAATATGGAATTGAGATATGACGAAATATGATACTTATTGTTAGAAAATTCTATTCTTAGATTATGTTATTTATTATGACATTACGACATTTCGTATTGTTATTCCCATTTTTAACAAAACACAAACAAAATAATGTATGAGGAGAATTAGAAGATATACATCAATAACTAGTTAAATCTCAATTTTAAAAATAACATGAAATTTTTGAGCCCCCCAAATAAATTTCTATTAAATGATAGTGAAGAAATTGATTATTTATTCTGTAAAAGTTTTAAAATTTTTTATTTGAAAAGAAGAAAAATTGTTTTCAGATATATGACAAAGCAATAAAAAAATGAACAACACTTATAATCGTTTTTTTTTATTGTTATTTAAAACCAAAACACTGAAACTATAATTCCATTATTTAATAAAGAAAAATTTTGTTTATTTAATATAATTAGTATATAATGATAAAGTCTTGTAATAAAAAAAAATTATTTCTTCATAATTAAATTTAAATTGAAAATATTTGATTTTCGTTATGAGATTTATATAAATCTGTATTTGTAATATTAAAATAATTATCTGATTTGGTTTGTTAAATTAACGGTATTCTTTCTCTAAAAAAAGATTTTAAATATTAAATTAATTTTTTTTATTGATATCAATTTATTTTTTCATATTTTATCGATATATCACGATATCAAGATTATTTTTTTTTTTAATTGTGGTATAATATCACTGATATTCAATACGATATCGAAACCCAATAATATATTGTCGACGAACCCTAATATATTATGTATTTTAACTCCAAAATCAAAATTTTAGGCTTAAAAGTATTATTTTATTATATAATTAGATATGAAAAGTTTATGAATGTTGAAAAAATTACTTAACAATTTAATTTCTTTTTTAATAAAAGAGCTCTGCGACATTATTCAGGGAAAATTATTTAGGAATATTATAACATTTTTTTTAACACTCTGTGAGCGATCAAAAATATTAGCATTTTTTGAGAAAACGTTAATTATAATCAGCGTTTTACGATTTAAAATCTGAAACCTTTACCAGGTTTGTCAATATATACTTCAAAGGTACTCTAAAAAATTCTTTGAAATCCGTTGGTTTTTGTCCGTGTTAACAGAAACAAATAACATTGTTACACAAATTTCAATTTATCGATTGAAAAGTTTTCTTTTACATATCTCCTGTGCTAAATAATAATTATTTGGTTATTGTTAAGTATAATTTCGAAGAACATTTGTATCTCATTTTTTTTGTATTTATATTATTAATAAGACATTGTGATATTATATTATGGAATTTTTTTTTAATCATCTGTATTATTTATAATATATTTGATCTCAATTTTTAATGCATAATAAATTTATTGTAGTTTGACTTAATTATGAAATTCTTAATCCAACACCAACTATTATTTTAAGTTGCAGTAGACCTGTGAGGTTTGTATAGCTATGGGTCTGGGGTGATACCTAGTAATTGATAAACCAATTAAGTTAAATAATTCTATTTCATTATGCCACGTTTCTACTTTGCTGCAATCTCATTAAACTAGATTTTTCTTAAAAAAATATTAAAATTTTAATAGTTTTCATGTATAAATATTATTGTATTAGACTAATTCGCATTGATTATGAAAATTATAGTATTTTAAATAACGATAAATTGTATTTCAACAATTAATGCAATTATAATGTTTACAGATACCAATGAAACTGATGAACAAAATAATAAGTTATATTATCATCCGACTATTGAATGGGATTCAAAAGGTTTTTTTTTCTTAATAATTTTAATTTATGAAGATGAAATAATGAATCATCTTTAATCAAATCACATAAAATGTTCCGGAATAGATGATTTATTTAATTAATTTAGTTATTTGTTTTCTTTTAATTTAATATTAAAATAGAATATGTATGGTTTCTCATCACAGATCCTTCTAAATGCAGTTCCTGTGAAAAAAATCCATATAATATGACTATAACTACATGTGGACATAGATATTGTTATGATTGTGAAAAAAGTATGCTTAATGGCCAGTTGAATTGTCCATTGTGTAGAGATAATCCAAGTAATTTTTGTATATTACCTATATTAGCAATACGAGGGCGGACTGAAAAGTAACAGTTTCTAACAAATATTATACAAACTAATAAACCTAAATAAAAACTCATGTTTGGAAAATTATATAGAATTTATCTAAAAGAAATTACTATTAAAGATAACTACCTACTAATGTCTATACATTTTCACTGACGTTTTATATATATTGAAAGTTAATCAAATACATTTCTTCATCTTGGCTAGCTACGCAACTCTTTTACTAATATATTTTTATTTATTTTGCTCTGTAATTATAAAACGCGAAATTATAATAACAAAAGTGGACAAGAAGGAATAGGCAAAAATTCCTTCCATAATAAAGAATTGTTTGAATTATGGACACTTTGATTGAATGAAGTAATATAACATTTTCTAGTTTATAATCCTCAATATCTTAAATATATCATTGTATGTTTTTTTTCTTAGATTAACGAGTTTAATGTATTTAATTTTGACACGACTTACGCAAAAATGTGATCGACACTGGTTTTGAGGATAGAGACTCGTGGGACGTTTATTAAATGAGCGACAACAGATTATTTTAACAAAAATAAAACAAACCGAAAAGAAAAACACAGTAATAATAATCTTCGCATAATATCGCGGCACTTTTGCTGGCGTCGACAACGCGATGTCCGGCGTAATCCTTGGACGGCAAAAGGTTAGCAGCGTTCTAGGCGACGGTGCGCGGGTGCGGATTGGTTGGTCGACGTTGTCGCTTTCACAACGGGAGGTTGGGTTGGGTTGGGTTGGATTTGTTGGGATGGGTTGGGCACCATTTGCGGCGGGTCTTTGTCGGCCGTGCGGCATTTTCTGGACTTTGCACCGTAACGTATAACACGCGGTGTTGGTCAGTCAAATACTCATAGTAAGGCGACGGCTGATAAAGGTGGCTCGAGTCGCGGGATATCGTGTATAACGAAGCGAAGCGGGCCGTGTCAATTTAAATATAAAACACATGTATTTACTCTTAAAAATGCTGGTCATTTTTAACACCCCGAGCAAACCTAAAAAATATTTTGTAAGTTTTTATAGCTAAACTAAGACTTAAGATATTTATTTGATTATAAACGTACACATGAGTTTAGTATTTATGTATAGTAATTCGGCAGGCCTTATTGTAATGTTTTTTTTCTACTACCTACTGTCCTTTTTTTTATGTTGTGCATCAACATAAACATAAACATCAAACATAACGAAGTACTTTTCGGATAACAGAACTATGGGGTTCGGTGGGGACACAGGCAACATTTTTTTTTGCTTTTTATGTTAGTAAAAACGTTTTTTAAAGCATAAAATTTCATAAAGACTTTAGTAGGTTAGTGGGGGTAAAAAAAAGTGCTACATTTGATGATGACTAGTGTTTTATTATTACAATAAATCCTAAAACTTTAAAAAAAGGAAACAGAAAAATATATAATAAAAAAATAAGTTATCTCAAAATTGAAATCAGTACAAACAAAACTTAAAACATTGTCGTAGGAACTTTTTCTTTGGTTTGCGAATCTTTTTGGTTATTATTTGCACTTATAAATATTCCCTTATACCACTCTTGTTCTTTCGCCGTAACAGTTTCTCTAACTCTCCTTTTTTTCTTAAACCACTCATTAATTGCTGGACGAGGATTCCATTCGGCTAATGGAGGAAGATTAAAATAAATATATAGATATTCATTCTCGCTTTCAATACTTAGACTGCTTCTATTGCTGGTTTTCAACAAATTGTTCACACTAATCACTCTTTCAACATCAGCGGAATGAGGTTTTGCTGCAACAATTCTGGCCATTATAACAGAAACATTGGGAAAAAAATTTGTCATCACTAAAGCCTGAAGAGTTTCTTTTAAGCTGATTTTTTTTAACTGCTCAATATTTTTATGAGTGAGAAGCTCCGAATATTCCATTGAAAGTTCAGCAAGATCTAAGTCGTTTCCTATCAATTTATGAACTGCTTTCATATCAACGGATGGCTCTAGCTCAGTGAATGGTTTCAAAATTTTAACAGTATCCGCATCAATATCGAATCTTTCCTGCAAAAAATTTACAACAAAATCCACAATTTCATTGCAGATTGCGGAGTAGTTTCGATTCTGAGAAACAAACTTGTGATGTTCCTTTAAACGATGTTTTCGATTTCTTGTTAAGACTTCTCCTTTTAGTAAAACCTCATTTTCACTATGAATTTCTAACTGTTCTTTTAAGGTTGTCACCCATCCACCAAGTAACGCTTCCGTTTTTAATATTTTAAGCCTGGATAGAACGTTTACTGTCTCTTTGTCCATGTCTAAAATTGTATTTGTATCAGACTGCAGTTTTTTTGATATCTGCTGAAAACCATAAATACGTCTGCAATAAATGCCAGGATTTGTAGATTGTTATAATTGATTAAAAAAAGTCTGTATCCTCTTGCCTCTTTGTCAGGACAATCTTTTAAGAACAATACTAAAGCATTCCAAGAAACCAAAACTGAATTGATTAAATCAAACGAAAATTCGGACCACCGCACTTCAAATAAACGAGGCAACCGCGAAAGAGTGCATTTATTTTTTTCGGCCGCCTGTTGGAGATGCTTGGTTCTTAAGCTGGAAGAGTGTAGAAATGAGCTTAAACCAACTAACTCTGAAAAAATATATTTCAACTCTCCAACACAATTACTACTCGATTTGAAAGCCAAATCTGATCTGTGTGCTGCACACCATATGGTAATGAAAGGAAGATTTGAGTTAATCTTGTACTTTTTCCTAAAGAGCTCCCACAAGCCTGCTCTACAACCAGTGTTCACTGCTGCTCCATCTGTTACCAATGAGGTGGCAAATTCAAAAAGTTGTCTAAACATTCCTTCTTCTACAGTAGTATCGATGGCGTTCTTTATTGCACCAAGTATTTTCTCAGCACCTTGACAAGATGGTTCACTTAACCCAAGGAAATATTGAACTGATTCACCAGATTTTTTTATGACTTTTGCAAAAACATATATCTTGTCTATTTGCATACGGTCCACACTGCCATCACATCTCAAAGAAAGCGATAAAATGTTAGAGCTCAGTATATCTTGCACACTATGATCACTTTTAATAATACACTAAATAAATTCTTTATGTGCGGTTGGGGTCAAATATTGAATTTTTTTTTTGTAATTTTTTTTGCGTCAGCATATGTATGTATCATTAATCCACCAATTTTATTTGCTAGGTCCTCGTTCATTTGTGGGAGCATCTTATCCATAGTACATTCTTTTGCTTTTTCTGGTACTTTTAAAGTAGATAATCTAAAAGCTTTCACAGACTCCGAATGATATTTCTGAGAAATATGTTTTTCTATCGTATCGTTTCTAAATCTAGTACCATCTGTTATTATCGCAAGCAATCGAGTCATTGTTCCATAAAGCTTTACTATGTTTGGAAACATGTTGCAGTATTTACATTTTACGTAGTGCTTGCCATCTTGGTGATAATGTTCAAATGCCTGAGCATCGGAGTTTTGTTTATTTGCTTCAGGTTTAGAAATTGGAATTTCTTGTGTGAGGGTTTCACTTGGGTTTTCATTTTCTGAAATTTTCTCGATTATTTCTTTTTCTTTAACTGGTTCCGATAATTGAGATTCCTCAGGAGATACTGAGTTTTGTGTGGCTAAATTTAACTGGGTCGAACCACTTGCTTTATTTAGATTCAGCCAACTATACAAAGAAGTTGTTTTGCAAGATATTTTTACATATTTTTGAAGAGATAAAGCCCGTTTCATTTTTACACTTTTTCACTTTTTATTAAAATAAGTATATAATACAGTAATTCACGTGAATTTATTTACTGTAGTACTAGCCCATAGACCTATATGTCCTAAGCAAAATCACGCAGTAGTCAACATGTGCATTCTATAGTGCAGTATTACTTAAACTAGAATATAAAGAAAGGTCGATAACGAATTAGATAAAATAAACAGATAAAATTAGTGTTTGGTTTCAATACGACCGTGTCTTGCGATACTGTGCGTTTTATTTATTTTTAAATGGGTTTTAACGACGGCACAACGACATTATCGATATCGTACATTACTATACTATATCGACTACTACACAATGCCACAATGCGCATCGGGCACACGAAGTCGTCTTACGACGTATAGGTCTATAGAAAACTTATACGTTCGCAATGCGATCATACCGTTGCCAGTCTTTTTTCTAATATATAATAAAAATACATTACGATTTGTTAAAAATTAAAATATGTGCTTAAAATTTTAAGTTAAAAACGTTTTTAATTTGATAACTTTCAATTTTTATTTATATAAATTTATGGCTTCAATATTTTATTATTAGAATTTACCTAGTTTCCTACAGGTGAAAAAAATCTACTACCCAATTTTGAATTTTCAACTACTCAAATTATGTTTTCAACTACCAATTCAGGTTCTACTACCCGTTAAAATAAGCCCTGTAATTCGGTATAATTTAATTAAAATCATTTAAATGAAATTCTAAAGAACTTTACATTTATTTGCAATTACACCATTTAACCCAATACAAGAAAATGAAATCCGGTGAGCTATATGAGTAAAACCATTTATATAATGTATACTACTTTCAAATTTTACAGCTGATATTAATTAATTATTTAGACTCTGACAAAATCATTTAGTTTTAAATTACTTAATATATGTATATCAATCTCAAGAAGAACACAACTATTTAAATTTTAGTAAAATAAAAAAAAAGTAATTATATTCCTAAAACAAATTTTATTATTAAGATTTTTTCTTTTGTAACAAACTCTAAAGTTACATTATATGGAATTCAGAAGAATATTCCAATATAATTTATTGAATTGAAATTAAAGAATTAATAAAATATTTTTACAGTTGATCTATCAGATTATCCTACTGATTTTGTTCTACCATGCAGTATGCACGATTTATATAAACTGGAAATGTACCAGGGATATGTAACGAGGTCTAAACTGTATAGAAAATCTTACCATGAATTGTGTGACAAGAAACAGGAAAATATATTAAAATAGAGTTTACTATTATATTTTTCATATTTTTATATCAGTACTTAAATTCAATGCCCTAGTATAATTAAAAATAAAATACGTATTAAAATATATTATTATTTAAAATAATAGTCTGTATTGAAAATTATTTATATTTAAGATGCACTGAAAATATTAGTTTATCTGTATGTTTCGATATATTTTAATAAATATTAAACAATGAATAATTCTTAATTCTGTCATAATCATATTAATTAAAAATATATTTGTTAAAATAAATTTATATAGAAAAAAAGCCAGCACAGGGTGGTCGCGGCACAGTGGTGACGTGGCATAGTTGGATCAAGTATAATGATATCTGACAGTGATTAAAATCACTATCATAAGAAACGCTTCGATGCAAATCTTTAGATAGTGTTTAATTTTAAAAAATTGGTGGATTATTCCAAAAGCTATATGATCTACTAGTTCCTTATTAATACCAATAAGTTATAGCATTATAAAATTAAAAATTTAAATATATAATCGAACATTTTCACACAAAAATAGCATTCGGTAGCCATTTTCATCGTAAAAACCATATAAATTCCAAAATTTTTTTTTTTCATAATAAAGTATATTACATTAGCTTTAATTGAAGACATATATAAAAGTAAAGGGTCAGATTTAAACAAAAATATACAAAATGAAAGGTAAAGACATCCATAAAAAAAAAAATTATATAAACCATTCATCTTTCAAAAAGTTATAGCATTATAAAGTTAAAAATATAAAATAGAATTTTTTTACAAAAATCGTATTTTTTTTTATTAATTTTTATGCCTGTTTTTACCATGAAGATAAAATAAAGTCCGAATTTTTTTTTTCCATAATAAAGTATATTACATAAGCTTTAATTTAAAATATACATAAAAGTGTCAGTATTTCTGAAACACTTTCAAAAATTAAGTTAAAAAAGTTCTCCTTTCTATATGCATTTTTATGTTTTGAATCCTCCTGTATTAGGGGAAATGGTGTTATTAAAAAAAAAGTATGTCGAACAAAAAAGAGATATAAATATTATTTCTCATAAAAAAATTGTATTGATCCATACTCATTACAATAAGTTATAACATTATAAAGTTAAAAATTATAATATAAAATCGAGAATTTTCACACAAAAATAGCATTTGGTAACTATTTAAATCGTGAAGACAAAATAAAGTCCGAAATTTTTTATTTTCCATAATAAATTGTATTATATTAGCTTTAATCTAAGATATATTTAAAAGTGTCAGTATTTCCGGAACACTTTCAAAATTTAAGTTGAAAAAGTTAATTTTTTGTGAAAAAGTTGTCATTTTAAATCTCCCCCTGTGGGCAGGTCTAGGGTCAAATTTATAAAAAAAATATACCAAATGATAGGTAAAAATATCAGACATCTATAAAAAAAAATTATATTGATATGTTCATTTTTGAAAAAGTTACGGCAGTTTTAAGTAAAAAAAATTGAAAAACTGTCGAAAATTAACGATTTTTAAATTTGTAATTTTTTTGGAAGTTTCTCCCTATTACAGGGAAAAAGGGAAATTTTTTCAATTTTTGAGGGTAATGTCTTCGACTAGATACGATTTGTGATCTTTTGACGTATCATTGAAAGAAATCCGTTCAGTGAGAGCTGAGAAAAAGTGGTAACAGACACAAAAAAAAAAACACATCATAATAAAATTAATACCTTCTCAGCTATACATCGAAGCTAAAATGAGATCAATGCAAAAAATATAGTTTTTTTATAAAATTTTTTGACTACCTAGTAGGAGAACAGTTTAATCGTAGTTAATATCATTGAAAAATTGCACACTTCTTCTTCTTCCTCGCCTTAATCCCAACTACGTGAGGTCGGCCACCCTTGTCCTAAACTTCCACTTGACACGATCTCCCATATCATTTACGCTCACATCAGCTGTCCTCAAATCGCATACAATAGCATCCCTACATCTCTTTTTTGGTCTTCCTCTATCTCTTCTTCCTTCATTCATTTCTATAACTGTTCTTACAGCTTCCAATTCTTCTCTCCTCATAGCATGACTAAACAATCGAAGGCTATTTTCTGTCATCTTATGCACGATTGACGCAACACCTTTACTTCCTCTTATATGCTCGTTCCTTATCCTATCTTCTCTAGTCACTCCACTCATCCAACTAAGCATTCTCATCTCTGCTACACTTATTCTCTGCTCTACTTTCTTATCAACCGCCCAACACTATGAACCACACATCAAAGCTTGTAAAAACCTTTCAGCCTCATTGGAATTCTTTCATCGCATAAGACACCAGACGCTTTCCATCCACTTCAACCACCCGAACTTAATCCTGTGTCTTGCATCCTCGTCAATACCACCACTCTTTTGCACAACTGATCTTAAATATTTAAAACTCTCCACCTTTCCAATCACGTCCTCGCCTATTGTCACTGACCTCCTCATTTCATCTACTTCGTGTTCTCTTTTGTCAAACTCGTACTCTAGATACTCTGTCTTACTTTTACTTATTCTTAAACCCTTTTCTTCAAGAGCTAATCTCCACACTTCTAGACATTGATTAATTTCCTCCCTATTTTCTCCTATTAACACTATATGCCTAGTATTCCTGAGACTTTTATAACTCATCATTTTTTTTCAAAAAAACAATTTTTTTAGTAAATATGGTTCTCTTCTAGATATAGTTTTTTGCAATAATAATAACTTCATAGTGGATATCTCTAATGGGCCACTAGTGCCTCTTGATTCTTACCATCCTGCCTTAACTATTTCCTCACCTTTTTGTTTTAAATTACCATTCTGTAATCGCGTACATAATTTTTTTAATTTCAAAAAATCTGATTTTCCTAATATTTGCTCTTTTATAGGTCAGTTTGATTGGCATGCTACCTTGTTGAATCATGATGTTGACTCTGCAATGAATGTGTTGTACGATGCACTGCACCGTTCTATTATGGATTTCGTCCCTAAATGTTTTTTTTTAATCTAATTTTCCTATTTAGTTTTCTAAAGAACTAAAGAATACTTTATTTTTAAAAAAACAAGCTCACTTTTATTAAAAATCATGTCCTAGTGTAGATACCTATAAAAATTTTCATTTTTACGTGCAAAGTTCAAATTTGAATCCAAAAAACCCCACTGTTTATACGTCAAAAACATCGAATTTAAAAGCAACCCTCGTAATTTTTGGAAATTTGTAAATAAAAACAACCACCATTCAAATAACATTTCTAAAGAATTATCCTATAATGGAGCAATTTCGTCCAACGAACAAGAAACGGCTGAATTATTCGCCTCCTAATTTTATTCAGTATATTCCTCTAATAATTTTAACCTCGATACCGACAAACTGGGTTTACCGACCATTGATTTGCCAAATAGTATTATTAATAGTGTTGAGGACGTTCTAGAAAATCTTACAACTTTATGTGGTAATTGGTCTGTCGGTCCTGGTGGAATTTGAGGTGAATACATTTACCAGTTAAGACATAGAATTTCATACCCATTATGGCTCATATTCAGAAAAATCCTTGGATAGTGGTGTTTTCCCATCAATCTTAAAATCCAGTTCTATCTCTCCTATTCCTAAAGCTGGCAATCCCTCAGTTATTTCATATTACAGACCAATTTCTATACAACCACATGTCTCTAAAATTTTTGAAAAAATTATTTTACGTATACTTCAAACTTTTGTCAACAAAGTAATTATTGAAGAACAACATGACTTTTTTCGGGGATGTTCTACCACTACCTGCAATATTGTATTTACAAATTATGTTTTTAATGCCTTTCAACAGCGATCGCAGGTTGATGTCATATATACTGACTTCAAAAAGGCGTTTGACTCCATAAATCATAACGTGTTGATTACAGTCCTTAAAACTATAGGTTTCGGTGAACCTCTTTTATCTTGGTTTCACTCATATCTCCTCAATAGATATCAATGGGTAAAAGTACATGGCACTAGATCCAATTTATTTTTGGCCTCATCGAGAGTTCCTCAAGGGGGGCATCTGTCGCTCCTTTTATTTTCCCTTCTTGTAAATGGAGTCATCCGTACCTTACAGAATTGCAAGTTGCTTTGTTTTGCTGACGACATGAAGCTCTTCATGCAAATCAATTCACCTGAGGAATGTATATAGATTCAGTACGATTTTAACCGATTTAAAATCTGGTTTGAAGTCCTGGGTTTATCATTAAATATTTCCAAATGCCAAGTCACATCTTTTACACGCTCTCAATCTCCCATAATACATTACTACTTCATGGGCAATACCAAAATTACACGTGTTAATGAAACCATTCCTGACCTTGGCTTCAAATTTAATACTTCTTTAGATCCTAAGCCCCATATCGAGATGATTTGTTGTAAGGCGTTTAAAGTTCTTGGTTTTATTATGAGGGTATCATCGGACTTTAAGATTAAAGATGTGATAAAAACACTCTACTGCCCATTAGTCCGTCCAATCTTAGAATATGAGTCTATCATCTGGAATCCGCATACGGCTACGGACTCCTACTTGATTGAAAGAGTACAGTGTAGATTTCTGTGGTTTGTTGGCTTTGAATTAAAAATTCCTCATCCCGACCAGGAATATGTAGCCATTTCTCAACACCTAAATCTAAATTCACTAGCTGATCACCATAATGTATAAGGTACTAAGTTCTTAGAAAATTTGATTATTGGTAAAGTGGACTCTCCACCTATTTTATATTTAATCAATTTCAAAGTTCCTCAAAGACAGTCAAGACATCATATACCATTTTTCATCCATTTCTGCAACACCAATTATGTGTCAAATGAGCCAATAAGATCCCTCTTTCAATATTATTTATAAGTTGCTCATACCAAAATATTGTATACTACTTCTAATTTTACAATTGTTCATGTTTTTTTTTTTTTTGTTTGCTATATGTTTTACTTTTGTATATATATAAATATTAGAGTGGTCCTTAAATTTCATTTTTTTTAATTTGAACAGGCTACCCCCGGAATTTGTTCAAAACTATAAAAAAATAATTTGTGTCAAATTTCATTTATTTTGGTCTAGGGTTGACCAAAAAAAGCTTGCCTCAAGAGGGTTGAAAATTCAATCATGAGGGTAGTTTTTCAATAATTGTAGTTTATCTCAAAATTTATGACTTTTACATAAAAGTTTATAAGAAAATTATAGATA